CCATATACTTTGTATAAGCCATTATACTTGATATATGGCTTTAGGAATTCCAAGTTTTGTCAGATTCTGCAGAATAATAAACAAAGATGAAGACTCCCTCTGTGTACTTAAGAAATAGTTTTATATGAAGGATAAGACAAGAATACCAGGTAGCATTACAGTTTGGGTTCTTGGTACCCAATGATTGATTTATCTGTAGTATAGATTTATTTCTCACAGTACCCCTTGGAATGCTCATTTTTAACCCCAGTAGTTAAATTTACCTTGGTAACCTCCAAAAACAGGCACCAAAGCAGCAATTTTTTTTATTTTTCTGTTGACCATAAATCTCATACCTTTTCTTTCTTTTTTTTGAGAAAGTGTCTTGTTCTGTTGCCCTTGCTGGAGTGCATTGGCGCGATCTTGGCTCACTGCAAACTCCATCTCTAGGGTTCAAGCGACTCTCCTGCTTCAGCCTCCTGAGTAGCTGGGATTACAGGCGCCCACCATCACACTCGGCGAATTATTTTGTTGTTGCTTTGTTTTTTGAGATAGAATCTTGCTTTGTCGCCCAGGCTGGAATGCAGTGACGCAGTGTCAGCTCCTGCAACCTGCGCCTCCCATATTCAAGCGATTCTCCTCAGTAGCTGGGACTAGACAGGCTCATGCCACCGAACCCGCCTAATTTATAGTAGAGACCGAGTTTCACCGTGTTAGCCAGGCCGGTCTCAATCTCCTGACCTTGTGATCCACCTGCCTCAGCCTCCCAAAGTACTGAGATTACAGGCATGATCCACTGTGCCCAGCCGAATTTTGTATTTTTTTTTAGTAGAGGTGGGGTTTCACCATGTTGGCCATGTTGCTCTCCCAACTCCTGACCCCAGGTGATCCACCTGCCTCGGCCTCCCAAAGTGCTGGGATTACAGACGGTGAGCTTTCGCACTCAGCCAATCTAATTTCTTTACAAGTAGTAATTCTTAACCGAATGTACCTTAACCAGTGCACAGACTGCTACTTCAGTCTTGGTTCAGCAGATTCTAGAGGTGTGTGGAAGGAGGAACAGTTACTAAACAGGTGGGTAGGCAGGACAGTGGCTTTGGCTTTCTTTGGTAAACACCGTGGGGCCTGTTTCTGAAGTAATTCCCTAACCCCTTCACTCCCACTCAGTATTGCTGATGGAAGTCGTTAACTTACCAGCTCTTTTGTCTACACTGATGCTACAAGCAAACTGTTTATTATTATTATTATTATAGACAGGGTCTTGCTGCATTGCTTAGGCTGGACTTGAACTTCTGGACTATAGCTACCCTTCGACTTCAGCCTCCCCAGTTGCTGGGAGTACAGGGGTGCGCCACTGTGCCTGGCTTGCAAGCAAACTCTTTTGCTTAGTGCGCTAGTACTTGTTACCCTGAATTTTTACCAATGTTTGCTTGTTTTTGAGACCAAGTCTCTCTCTTTCGCCCTAGCTGGAGTGTAGTGGCATGATCAACCTCTTAACTCCTGGACTCAAGTGATCCCATGGTTACCTCCCAAATAGCTAGGACTACAAGTACATGCCTGGTTTTTTTTTGGGGGGGTGGGGTGGGGTGGGGGAAGTACATAGGGAACCTCCCTATATTGCTCAGGCTTGTCTTGAACTTCTGTGCTCAAGGGATCCTCCTGTCTTGGTATCTTAAAGTTCTGGGATTATAGGTGTGAACCACCAGGCCTGACCTATGCTGAATTTTTATTTTAGCCTCTTTTTTTCTTTCCCAGGGTTAAGCCATTTTAAAATTCAGTTACCTACAACTGTGTTAATGGGCCAGCCTGTGCCCAGCTGGTGTGTGTTAGGTACTTGGCCTAAGGTCATTGTCCAGTCCAGGGATTTGTGCATATGGCAGCAGACAAGGGCAGTGTAGGGTTGCATTTATACTCTAGAATTAGTAGCTGTTCTTTTACTTTTCATATCAAATGTTATTTTATACGTAATGGATTTTTGAACTGTATTCGAGGCTAGCCTTTAGAATCTATCCCTTAAGAGAGCCTTATGTTTGGGTTACCTTTTGGTCAAATAGGGTATATATTAAAGCTCTGATCAACTCTGAAAGTACTGCATATTTAAGTGATGTCAGAAATTCCTATTGCAATTTTTAAATTTTTTAAAAAATTTATGTTTACGTAAAAATACATGTTAAAGACAAAAATCTATTTAATGATACTTGTTAAAGGTTGGCAAAGACGACTATTCAGGACTATCTCAGTAAGTACAGAGACCACTGCAACAGGGTCTTGCAGCAGAGGAAAGAGATTGGGCTCAACTCGAAATACAGCATGGGTAAGGAGCAGGGTAGGGGTCAGTCAAAGGTAAACTGCTAAGAGCAAACATTTCAAGTAAGGGGGATTCTAGTTAAACCCATCTAACAGGATTCTTGCTGAAGACAAGCCAGGGTGATCAGACATCACCTGGGGGATGGTGGTGAATGAACAACCTGATCAGATATTGAAGATGGGAGGGGCGTCTTTTGCTGAAACTGAATTTTATGAGGAAGTGCACAGATGGGCCTAGAAGAAAGTTCAGAAGCCTCACTAAAGTTTGACAATGCAAAGTATCTTTGTCATATGGAAGAATGATTGATTTCAAAGTAAAAGCAAGCGTTAGCTTACTCAAGGGATCAGTGGTTTGCTATGCAAAGGGGTAGGAGTTTTATTTTCTGTAAAAAATACTAGAATAGGTTAAATAAGCAACAGAGTTGTTAACAGGAACTCTGAATATCTGAAAATCATTGGAAATTAAAATTTCCTGGTAATGCTCAATATACTTTTCAAAATGTATTAATAATTTTTTTACTTTAACTTTTTATTAGTTTTCATCTGCATTTTGATCTTCATTCTAGTGGCATTTATCAGTGGTAGGCTTTTCATTTGCCTGCGTAGCAGGTAAATGTGATATGCTGGAGTTTTGTGGGTGTTTGGCATTATGTCACAGGAGCAATAGGAAATGACTGTGGATTAACTTACGTAAACATCATTAAGTTTAACAAAATAGACTACTTCATTTTGTCTCTATGCTGAACTGTTATTTAATGATTCACAACAGCCTAAGCAAAAGTTTTTTTGTTCTCTTCCCTACTCTGACAAAAGCAGGCTGGGGAACTGTGTAAATTTGCATAATATTACGAATTTTCTGTTTTTAATACTGTCAAACTGTGCTGGGTGTTGCATTTGTTGTAAATGCAATAGACAAGCAACATACTGGCTGTCATCCCAACTTGTCAGTATTTCTTTTTAATATGTTTTGTTTTCCCATCAAGCTTATCATACACCTTACAGTACTTTCTGGAATTAGCTTTATTTGGTCAATATTATAGATAACTGTGAAGCAGATAGGTGCTGTATTTAAATACCATTGTGGATGGGCGATGAGTTTTTGAAAACCATACATGTGTTTCCAAAGGCCACTCTCTGTATTATTCAGTATCTATTAACAGACAATAAAGGATTCTTTCTGTTGCACCACTAACCCTAACCACCTAATCCTCCTAAGGCAAAATTCAGAAGTTCTATGAATTGGCTTTAGAGAATAGTCCCTAAAAAGAAAAAAAGTAGTGGACTGCCTCCCCAAAAAAGTCATCATCCAATATTTTGAGACTTAATTTGAGAAATACTGCATTTTCTAACCTATAAGGTTATTTTTTCCCTTTTTTCCTTTTTTAAAAAAGGCACACTGTGGGAGTTGGATGCATTCTTTCTGTCAGTGCTTAGAGACCTATGGAGGAGGATGTCTTTTCTTGTGCCTCTGCCTATATTCACACCCTCCTGGTCTTGGCATTTTTTCCAATTTAATAGCCGTGGAAGCAGCCTCTATATGCTTTTAGATTAGTATGGTTTATGTGATATGTCTGCTTTAATGCATCACAGCTCTGTGTAGAAGTTTTATGTGGCACTTATGAAAAACCGACCTAGTTTGAAAGATAAAAACTCTCGGAATAGATGCTGTCAGAATTATTTAATTTTATTTGTGTTATAATTTAACATAGGTTTTTGATATGTTGTCCTTCATAGGGGGAAAGTATAGATCCAGGAGACTGTATTTCCTATCTAATTCTAATCTTAATGGGGCTTCAGAAGTCACTTTATTTGTGCTTCCTCATTTGTAAAAACAAAGATTTCATTTTATATATATATATATATATATATATATATATATATATA